TGAAGAGCGGTTGCCGAGACACTTCCAAGACCTGGTACCGCACTGACCCGATGCCGTCCCGCTTCATGGTCAGCTTCGTGTTTTGAATCTTGGTAAACCTAGATAGGATGGAAGTGGGTCCAGATCAGGGCTCACCACCAAACCCAACAGAGATCACTGGGGCCAAGGGGCATGCCATCCTGGCTTCTTCCTGGGGTGACTCGGTTCTCTTCGTTGCCCCCTCCACCTGCCTGGAGCCCTTTGGCTCTTGCAACTACCCTCAAAAAAGAGATCTCACCCCCTTGAGTCCAGAATCACAACACCCTCACAAATCTTTCTCTCATCTCAGACCTAGACACAGGGCACCCCACAGGTACCTCAAATGCAACGTGTCCTGTATTGTATGCATCATCTTTACTCCTCACACCCATCATCTCTGTGCCATCTTCTCTGTTCCTCATCCTTTAGTCACTCCTTCAGCATCTATTTATTGAGCAGTCCCCATGTGCTAGGTGCGCTCTAAGCACCAGGGTCACAGCCATGAACAGGACAGCAAGGTCCTTCCTCTCGTGGCAAGTCTATTCCACTAAGGGAGACAAGTAACAGACAAGGAAGACATCAGCGTGCTAAGGGAGACAGGAGAGGGAGACCAGGATGACTGCCGTGGAAGGGGTGCGTGCGGGCCATCAAGCTGACAGCAGAGGAAGAGCATTCCAGGCAGAGGTAACAGCACATGCTGACCCTACACAGGAAATGAGAATTGGCACAGCTGAGTGGCTCGAGCTTAATGGGCCAAGGGGAAAAACCAGAGTAAGATTAGCTGGGAGGTTAGAGCATGTACGGGCAGGCCTCTGTAAGTCAGAGGAAGCACTTTTTTATTCTGTGGGTGAGAAGACACCGAGGGATTTTTTTGCCCAGTTTGGGGGAGGGAGAGTCAGGGAACATGAACTCTAGAAGAGGGAAGACAGAAAACCAGCCGGGCAAGAGGACGGAGGCCTCACTAGGGCAAAGGTAAAGAGAAAAGTGGACCAGCTCAGATATGTTTGGGGGGTTGCACTGATGTGACCGGCTGATGGTCCGGACATGTAAGGCGAGGGAAAGAAGAATTCAGGACTCCTAGATCTGAGGCAAAAGCAACTAGGTAGATGAAACCAGCATTCACAGAGTTCCTTAAGCCAGAAACATCTTGCTATCATGCCACTCCCCCACCTAAGGCAGACATCACAACTGAGGATGGCACCTAGACACGCTATTCCTGAAACAGGACCATGGCCCCTGGCATGTGCTTCCAGAGCTCCTCCCACCCTCATCCCAACTGTTTGATCCTCCCAGTCCTTCTGAGCTCAGTTCAGATCGCTCTCCAGAGCCATCCCAACACTGAGCGCTCTCCCTCAGATGCCCTGAAGCACCTCTTCTCCCAGCCTCTCGTCCTTTCCCTGCTTACCATGGTTTTTATCTGAACTGCTTTTTCATCAACTCCCTGGACGCCTGGTGCGTCACGCTTCTGCCAAAGATCAACCCTCCATCAGTGCTGCCGCCTCCCTCCCCACTCTGACACACTGGCTTCAGAGCAGAACATCCCTACTGGTCCCGTGTGGGCACGGCAGCGTCACACCACATGCGCCCGGGGCTCCGTCAACTCCTTTGGGCCTAGTCTGCTTCCTCCTGCTCCACCCGGCAGCTCTGCCCGCCCTTCACCTTCTTCAAACTCACAAGGGTGAGCCTTCCAAACCCAAATCTGGTCCTGCCCCCTCCCCGCCGGAAACCCTTCCATGACTCGCCAGCGCCTCTGGGACAAAAGTGAAACTCCCAACCTGGGATCAGCAGAGACCCCCTCTCCTGTCACTCCCAGCCTTCAGACTGAAGAGTTTCAGACTCTCAGCGTATACAATGGACGTTCACATTCCAGACTCCTACACATATTATTCCTTTTAACCAGACTGGCCTCCTCCATCAGCCTGGTGAATATAGCACTGTGCCTAGGGTAGGTGTGTGGCACATATTTGTAGAATGAATAACTCTTTTCAAACTCCAGTTTACCATCACCTCCTCCAGGATGCCTCCCACCATCACTCCCTCTTCTGCCAGGACAGCACCTTGCCCTGATCACCCTGTGCTGCCTCTGCCGGCCTCCCTGCCTAGAATGAACTTCACACGGGCTATCCAGCCGGGACTGGGTCTGACTGCTGTGCACCCTCGCGCCCCCTGCCCCTACATTTCACATGCCCTCAGGCACTTCTCCCACCCAGCATCAGACACCAATGTTGCTTCCTCCTCAGAGACCAGCCACCTACTCCAATCTCAGAGGGCTCAGCAATGATTTCCACTACCACCCCACGTTGCTCGGGCCACCTCTGTTGGGTCCGCAGGCCCTGGAGCTGTGCCCTGGGCCCGCTATCTCTTGTCCTATCTGTTCTGGCACAAGTGAGGTCTGCGAGGGCACCGAGAGAAATGCAAGCTACTCAGTGACCATCTGAGCCCTGCCTTTAAACTTCAGTCACTTCTAGGAATCAGGCCAGGGGCGAGAGCCAGATGGGGAGAGGCTGAGCTGGGGACTGGGGAACAGGGATTGGGGTGGTGGGAGTCATCTCTAGAAGTCAAGGGTCGGGGACCTTGGGATCACCTCTGGGGATCAGTGGCACTGGGACATCACCTCTACGGAGTAAGGGGCCGGGGTGGTTGGGGTCAAGGGCGCTGGGGGTCACCTTTGAGGGTTGGGTTCATTATGCTTGTCCCGGTCGTGCTTGATCATGCGGTAGCGGCCTATGCGGATGTCTGGGCGCGAGATCTTCATCCCAGCCAGGGAGATCCTGGGGACGGGGACAGCCGGGCTGGAGCAGGCGCCAGGAAGGGCGAAGAGCCCTGCCCCGTCTGCGCCCCGCCCCCCCCCACCTCAAGCACCCAGTCTCCTCCCCACCCTGTCCCCACTCACCGGTTGAAGATGTCATCATCCTCACCACCCCAACCCCAGTACTCGTTGGGGAAGCCATTGATTCTCAGGAACTGGGATTTATTCAGGCCCGACACACCTCCAAAGTAGCCAGCATAGGGCAGCCTAGGGCACGGAAGGCAGGCATCAGTGAGGGGCCCCAGGGGATTCCAGATGGAGGCCCGGCAGCAAGGGGGCCCCTGGGGCTGGGAGCGGTGGCCTGGGTGGGGTAGGGAGGCCTGGGCCCACCTGAGAAGGGAGCCCTCACCGAAAGCCGAACTTGTCCATGGCAATGGCAAAGTGGCGAGGCTGGTCGCCACAGCGGTACAGGTTGCGGTCATCCATGGGCACCAGGTCCACGTCACTGAAGATGAAGCAGCTGTAGGCGGCGTCCTCCTTCAGTGCCTCTAGGAAACCCACATTGAGCAGCTTGGCCCGGTTGAAGGTGTCCTCACCATGCTGGGGTTGGTGGAGGGGACAGGTCAGCTCTGGGCCTGAGACTCCGAGACACCTGCCACTTTACCACCGTCCAGAGCGGTCCCTGTGGGCCTAGTACTACCCCACCTGCCCCCACCGGGGCCCCCAGACTGTAGGGATCAAGGCCGGCTCTTTACCCTGGACCTGGCCTTGCAAGGCCTTTCAGGAATTGACTCCAACTTCTCTCTGGCCACTGCCCTCAGATGCTGAGGCCCAGCTGTACTACATTCCTCCACGACCCCAGAACATGCCAGACTCTTTCTTGCCTCCAGGCCTCGGTGTTAGCAGTTCCCTCTGCCTGGAATGCTCTCCTTCTCTGCTTATCAAACTCATGTCTGGAAAGGCCTCTGTCACCAAACCTCCCCGCCCCAGTATAATTACTCATTTCCTCCTGTGCGCTTCACTTATGCCAGGGTCCATTCCAACTGTTACAATTTAGAGCTCTCCTTTCATTCATTCCTTCAAACATGCCACGTGGCCCTGTCCTTGGTGCCAGGCGTCTTCTCTCTGCCGGTGCAGATCCTAGAGATGACTGGCCCTGAACACAGTTTCCCTACTGAGCACGTCACAGAGTGAGATGAACAAAAAATAGCCCCAAATGACCAGCATCTAAGATGCAGAGACCACGAGGACTGAGCCACTGAGGCTCAGCCACCTGTCCCCTCTGGCTCATGTAGATCCACATCCAACTCCCTGGGCAGCCTCTGGGACCAGGACGGGACCAGGCTCAATTCACTTGTCTCCCCAACAAAATGATAAGCACAGTGAGCCTGGGATCCCCCGAGAAATGGGCTGCGGGACGAGGTCTCCTTGAGGCCAGCCTCCTGGCCATGTAGCCCCAAGCTCCAAATTCTGGCCAGAGCAAGGAGGGTTCCATGGAACCCTGAGCCCCCTGATCCAACCCATGATCTCCAGGCTGGAGCCAGAGAGGCTCCTGGTCTTCAAGTGGGACCTTCTGGAAGGAGAGGAGGAGTAGCCCCTCCTCTTCACCAGCCAGCCTGGGCCCGAGGGGGTGGGAGCTGCTCCCCTGGACCCTGAACGGCCCAGCCCCACCTGCTCTCTTTTCTCCTTACCCTGAACCTTCCCACCAGCCCTTGGAGCAACTGTCCATTTTCTCCTGGCTCACTGGCACTCCTTTCTAACCTCTCTCACCACCCCAGAGCCCTAGGTTTCTCCCACAGGGCTCATAAACATGCTCATTTCTCTCCCATCCAAAGAAAGCCCTCCCTCTAGCCACCGCCCTACCTTTTGCCTTCCCTTCTCAGCAGAGGGGTTTTTTTTTGATCGAGAGTTGTCTCCAATTGGCTACTTGCAATTTGTCAAATCTGATTCCTTCTGCAACCCACTGCAATCTGCTTCCGCCCCCACCAGGCCCCTGAAATGGCTCTCGCTGGGCCCACCTTGTTGCTAAATCCACTGGACGCTTCTTGGTCTACATCCTTCCTTACTCCCCCAGCAGCGCTCATGCAGCTGCCACACTCCCTTTTTTTTTTTTTTTTCCCGGTACGCGGGCCTCTCACTGTTGTGGCCTCTCCCGTTGCGGAGCACAGGCTCCAGACGCGCAGGCTCAGCGGCCATGGCTCACGGGCCCAGCCGCTCCGTGGCATGCGGGATCTTCCCGGACCGGGGCACAAACCTGTGTCCCCTGCATCGGCAGGCGGACTCTCAACCACTGCGCCACCAGGAAGCCCCACGCTCCCTTCTTGGCGCTTATTCCTGGGCTCCTGGGACACCAAGCTCTCCTGGGTCTCCTCAAACCTTTCTGGCCAACCCGCATGGCCTCTGTGTTCTCTCTTTCTCCACCCATTCCCTTATGTTCTGGCTTTCTCCTCTCAGCTCCCAGGCCGCCTGGGCAGGCTGACATTGCTGGTTTTAGGGACCATCATCTGTGTACTGGTGGCTCACAGATCCCTCTCCACCTCAGACCTCACTCCTAGGTCGATTCATTT